CTTAATTATTCAGCCCCAGAGGTTGTTGTTAGTCAGAAGCCTACAAACTACTTTGCTTTCAGCATACTGACACATCCCTGTTCGAAGTAATAAACCCTATTTAGAGCTGCTTCTTTGCAATAACACTGGTAAAACCACCGTCTGACTGATTTTTAGCTTGCAAGTAAAACTGAGAAATGTGTTGCTGTCCTGTACATCATAAAGAAACCCCCTAAGTGAACGACTGCAACACATGCAGCATAGTAACAACCAGAGTTGCATGTTACATCCCCTCTCTCATCTCACCACATGTTTTCTGTCCTCCTCTTCACTCAATTCTCATAAGAAACGCGAGAAAGTATGCGATAAAAGAGCCACAGAGTGCTTCCTCTGTTTCATTTCGATACTGCACTTGTGTTTGAGGCTGAATCTGCCTGTGATAAGAGTTCCAAGATAATAAGCTTTAATGTTTTCAGTAATCTTTGTGTTGTGGTGGCAGTTTCAGTGGTTTTAACTAAAACATCAGATTGCATTAAAAACACCAAGGTCACGCACTCCATTTCAGATCAAGTCAAATTATAGAGACAGAGGGTCCAAATAACAGGTATGGTGCTTTATTTTATTTTGCTTCTTGGTGCAAAACAGCAGATGTGTTTGGTCTATTGTCGGGCGTGAGATAACAGCACTGACTTGTGGAACTTGTACTAGAGGTTGGTTAAGTCTCCAGGCCTCCTGCTGCAGGTGTCACTCCTCCTCGTCCAACAGGGGATCTGATTACCAGACGTTAAGCCCTTCTGTTCTCTTCCTACATTCCAAGAAGAGCTGACCTTGGCCCCTGGGCAGATTCTTCTGTGCCCGTGATTAGATGGATATCCTTTCCGATGAAGAGCCGGTAAATGAAGACACCCATCAGAGTGTGAACTTACCATGTTACCACGACTTGTGAGGGAAACCCTGTATTTACACTGCAGGAGCTGTCACAAGTCCTCAGGTATCAGCAGTGTCAGGTTATGTAAGCAGGGCCTATACAGAGCAGCTCTGCCCAGGGCCGTGTAAGCCCATTTATCTCTCTATGCAAGCTGGGAGGGATTTCCCTCTGGCTCATTGGCTGCTGTTTGATTTGGTGAGACACAAAAATATAAACTAAATAAAACAAATGCACGAAAGTTTGAAGGACATTTAACTAAAGGCAGATAAAAGAATAGACAATAGAATTTAAAAAATGGAACAAAATAAACAAAAAGCTGCATTTACACAACATGGCTGCAACAGTATCCATCCATCCATTATCTATACACCGCTTAATCCTCACTAGGGTCGCGGGGGGGCTGGAGTCTATCCCAGCTGACTCAGGGTGAAGGCAGGGGACACCCTGGACTGGTCGCCAGTCTATCGCAGGGCCACACTTAGAGACAGACAACCAAGCACACTCACATTCATACCTACGGACAATTTAGAATCACCAATTAAACTCAACATGTTTTTGGACTGTGTGGGAGGAAGCCGGAGAACCCGGAGAGAACCCACGCTGCACAGGGAGAACATACAAACTCCACTCAGAAAGATTCCGGTGCCCCCACCGGCACGCAAACCGGCAACCTTCTTGCTGCGAGGCAACAGTGCTACCAACTGCGCCACCTTGCAGCCCTGCAACAGTATCATCATAATATTTAATAATTGTATCCATTTTTTCTTCCTTGTATTTTATTGTGCCTGCAAACAATGACAGCATGAAGGTATAACTTCTGCAAACTGTTTAACTTTTGTAAACACTCTCTGCTTAGGTGTTTCCAAGGCAGAGCGCACCATCTAGTGGTCAACTGGGGATGACATTATGGCTATTGGCATTAACACTGAATTATGTTTTAGCGGACATAGGAGCGTAGGAGCAGAGTTGCAGAGGAAGCTACACGAATATTTATTTAGTATTGTCAATGAATTAAGTTTTAATTAGACGAATATTAGCACTAAGTACATTTTAAATTGTGCTGGTGATCCTGGTTGCAGCAAGAAAGACACACTTACACAAACTTAACTCACTCCACAAAAATCAAAAGTTGGGACATATTTTGACTTAAAGGGGCTATTCACCAATTTTATGTATGAAAGTTAGAACACTTCAAATGAGAAGTCAATTAAAGAAGTTTCACAGTGCCCTAAAATAGTCACGCCCCCTTAGAAGTTGACCCATTTTCAACACCGAATCATAGTCGACTTAATTTGGCTTTTTTCATAAGAATTTACCAAAAAAAAGACTTTTTCCATGTCAAAGTGAAAACAGATGTACACAAATAAATGCCAGTTAATTAGAAATATAACAATATAATAAAATGTTTTTTGAACAAGTGATTGCATAAGTCTTATATAGGTATATGGTACAAGACGTCACGGTTAGTGAAATGGAGATCATCTGAGTGCAGTTCATGTCTCTCAGTGTCTGTAGCATAATGACATGTGTATGTAAAAAGGTCCAGTCACTGATGAATCAGTACTCCTGACTATAGCTACACCACGAAGACAAAAGAACACTCCAAGTAACGTCAATAAAGGGTTACTAAAAAGCTCAAATCAGGGCATGGATACAAGAAAAATTCCAAGTCATCTGATATCACTTGGAATAGATTCATCATTAGGAAATGGAAGAAATGCGGCACACATGTTAATATGGCTGGAGTGGGCCATCCTCAAAAACTGAGTGACTGCAATAAAGAGGCTAGTGAGGGAGGCCACCAAGACATCTATGACTCATCTTAAGGAGTTACTACTTTTACCAGCTAAGATGGAAGAGATTGTGCATACAAGAACTGCTGACTGTTTGTCATCAAGTCAAAGCTTTGTGGGACAGTGGCAAAGAGAAAGACACTGTTGAAATAAGGTTGTGTTGAATCTCAAATAGAGTCAAGCAGAACGCATGTGGGAGACTCTGTCAACTGGAAGCAGGTTCTGTGGTCTGATGAGACCAAAATGTGGCCATTAAACCAGATGTTATGTTTGGCAGACGCCAAACACCGCACATCATCACAAACACACCGTCCCCACCATGAAGCATGGTGGTGGCAGCATCATGATGTGGGGATGCTTCTAGACAGCAGGCCCTGAAATGGCTTGTAAAAGGTAGATGGCAAAATGAATCCAAATCCTGGAGGACAACCTGATGCAGTCTGCAAGAGAACTTTGACATGGGAGAAGATTTGTTTCAGGGTTAAACGGATTAATGACAAAAAGGTGAATGTCCTGAGCAAGATGTATGATTCTGCAGGAATAAAGTTCAGGCTTTCTGAGCCCTGGCTGCAACCATTTTCATCTGTCTTTCACGTGTCCCCTGCCTTCATGAAAGTAGAACACAAAATCACTGGAGCACTCCTTCAAGAAGGTTAACAATAAAATAAGTTTTGTCTTGAACTTGTCAGACCTTGCAAAAGCAGCTAATAAATCTTTTAGACCATTTCTTGCATCCTATAGACTACTACTGAATTACTTACTAGCAGTACAAGAAGACATTTTCAGGTCCTTTATTTAAGTGAAAATACAAAACAGAAAAACACTTCGTTATAAGTAAAGATCCTGCACAAATAATACTACTTAAGTAAAAGTACATATTTATATTATTATACATGCCATGATTAGATTAATAATACTGTTGCAGCTGCTGCAGGTGGAGCTAGTTTAAACTACTTTACATCCAGTTTTATTTACTGGGAAAACAGATAAATCTGAGGGCTCCAAACATGATTAATGGAGGAGGAAAGAAGAAAACACTAAGTTCTGATACACAAATCTGTTTTCAGTTATGTAAGAAGCCAAAAGGCTGGAAGCCACGAGTTTAATCTTTAATAGTCTTGCAAAGCCAGACCATTCTGCAGCACAGAATCTAATCTTTAAGAATGTGTTGCATTTCCAAAGCTGGAATTTCCCATTATGTGAAGTCTTTATCTAAAAAAGTAGCTGTCAGATGAATGTAGTGAAGTAGAAAGTGCAATATTTTAATCTGAAATGTGCTCAAGTTGGAGCAGAAAGTAGCAAAAAGCAGAAATACTCAAGCACCTCTCAAGTACAGCCCCCTCCCCAGAGAGAACTTCAGTCCAGTGAGTAAATGTACTTAGTTACTTTCCACCCCTGCCTACAAAAAATCCTCTAATCTCAGGTGTGATCTGTGCGCAGCCAGAAGATGGAGTCATGGACGCAGAAATGTTTGAGAGACTGCTTCACTCAGTTGGCTTCTGTGCCTGTTTCTCGGGCTGATGGGCACTTTAGCTGAGCATAGTTTCTGTCCAGAGGTCTTCCTCAATAAGAGCCCTGCTGAATAATGTGCTAACTGCCACCGTAACTCTTCTGTCACGGTTTTATTCTGAAAGTTTTACTGTGGGTGGGCGGGTGTGTGCGCTCTTGGCATCTCCAAGCAGTTGCGCTGTGGACGCACATCTGGAGAGCGGGTTCGTTATGAATTTGAAACAAACTGCGTCCTCTGGCAGCGCGAAGAGCGAATCCCAGAATCCAACCGGTGCTCGGATTCGTCTATCTTCTGGCCTGTTAACAGCTAAATATGTTTTAGTCATCTCATGTTTTAGCGTCTCACAAACTACGAGGTGAACTTGTAACTCGAGCCGTGCTTGTTGGAGCGGGCAGCCAGCAGTTCCAACAGCTGGATGAGGGCTGGAAACATCAGCAGCGCCGTGCGCGTAAAATGAAGCAGCAGCTGAATGGCTTCGTGCCGCTCGTCCTGGAAGGAACATCTCAGGAATGAAGCATCACCAGCTGCGCTCCGATGGGACACGAGAAGAAGCTGATTTAAATCAAATCTGCAACCGTTCATACTGAGCAGGAATACCCGAGAGGATCAGACAGGAATGAATCAGATGAAAAACTCCCCTGAGGAGTTGCGCTCTCTTCCGCCAAGACCTCAGAGTTTACCTGCAGCTTCCCCGAAGAGACGGTTTGTCAGGCTGGGAAGGAAGACCAGTGATGGCTCTCAGCAGTGAGTATCATCTGAATACACTTTGTACAAACTGGTTATTTGAGAATTAATATCAGTACAAGTCAGTCCACTCTTGTATGTTCAGAGGGCTTTTATGTGCTTGACTTAGAAACTGTGCACAAAACTCAGAAACTGGACTTAAAATAGTAATAATAATGATAACAAGGACACATTTTAAGCCAACAGGACTTGAAGTAGTTCTCACTGTTCTCTAAATACAGTTGTATAATGCATTCAAACTCCTCGTGTGCCACAACATTGTAATGCTTTTCTGTCACAAACCTTCACCAGTTCCACTAATATTATTAATCAGAAATGAAAAATCTTTAATATCCTAGTGGTGGCGTAACTGCAGAGAACCTTTGAACCATAGTGATAAGAAGCTTACAGGCTTGGTCAGAGCAAAACAGCACCTTCATTATTTCATTAGTGTGCTGGGAGAGCTGAGGGAGGCATGGTGAAGGAGACCAGAGCAGGCTGCTGGGGACACACACGTACGTATATATATCAGAGTCAGTCCTGATTTATGGAATAATTAACACACATTTACTGGTAGAACTGCTATATTTCAAATGTATTTTCCTTTCTCCTTTCTTTTTTCAGTGCTGTCACTTGCTATTTGTTCACTCATGTGAATGTTTTCTGACCTGATCAACTGTGTTAAGACTGTTTAGAGAGCTCTATGTGCCTACAACTTGAAATGTAGAGTCTTATTTGTGCCTGAAAGAGGGTCTGAAGAAGATGCTGTTCACTGATATGTTGCACAGCAGTTATTAGTAAAATAACTTTGGAGCACAGCAGCTCTCTTTCTAGCTATGAAACTGCCTGTCTTACAGTTTATCTTTAAATATACTGTAAACAAAACAAAAGAAAGAAAGAAAGAAAGAAAGAAAGAAAGAAAGAAAGAAAGAAAGAAAGAAAATAACTTTTTTTATTGTTAATATTTACTGTGATACAAGAGATTTTCCCTGTTTTGTTCAATTACAGTAAAATCATAGAAAGAAAGTATTAATTTACATGTTAACCACAACAAAAGCAGACCAAAAGTGTAAATATTGTCCGCATTTTTTTTTAAAAAAGAGTATTTTCATAGTCTAGAATTCAGGATTTTTAAATGTTTAACCATAAAACTACATTATTTTTACTGTATTCCAATCAGCAAAATATTTTACAGATGTGTCATTATTTTAAAAACTGTTAAATATTTTTTATTTTACTGTTTTCTTGTTTGTTAAACTACGAACAATATCAAGTGAAAAAACTGTGAAAAAGATACAATTAAAAGCTGACTGTAAAAAATATAACAACAAAAAAAACAAAACAAAAGACAAAACTGCAGATAATGTCCTCATCAAATAGTAAATTATTATAAATACAAATTGTAATAGATTCTTTTACAGCATGTGACTGTAAAATTACACTATTTGTATCAAAATCAGCTAAAAAATACAATAATCTTACAGGTATTTACCATCATTTTCACTGTTTTTTGAGTGTTTAATGTTCTAGTATTCCACAGCTTTTTAAACTTTTTTCTGGCAACCCTGCTGTCAGATTTTCTTTTTCTTTTTTAAACAATTTTTTCATACAGTGTGTGCTTATTTTTAATTCTTTCCGCTAAATGCTTTCTTTTGTCCTTGTCATCATTAGGCCCATATTTTTTGCTTCTTCATTATTTTTTCCTGGCTCTCCCTTCTCTAATGTGACTGCTTTATTAGTCCTCCAGCTGAAAATGTTCCGTCCTCTCTCTCGTCCACCAGGTCAGCTTCATCCACCAGCAGTTTATCGACCTGCAGGTCAGCCGAGGGCGTCGCCGTCCGACAGCCCAGCAAGAGCCGCATCCGTCGCCATACCAACCGTCTCTCAGGTGTCTTTCTCCATCGGCCCGCCTCCAGCTCAGGCTCCATGGCGCTGACCGCAGGACTCAGGTCATCACTGTCCGTCCAAGCCAGGAAGGCCAGCAGTACGTCACTCTGACATTATTTTCTCTCTGCATGTCTATACTGAGATCCATAAGTCATCCACTTTAGAGGAGCCTCTGATTTTACACATAAAGTTCAGTTTACTAGTCACAGAAGTAGCTGTGGAAACAGTTTTGTGTTTTTTGTGGGTCTAGAGGAAGTGATAAATCTGGGCTTTTAAGCTGAACACTTAAAGCACCAAATCTTGCATTACTAAGTATTTGAAAAGACCTGATCCTTTAACAGGCAGGGAGGGTCTAACAAAAGGCAGCTTTCCAGGAACTCGGTTTAGGTGCACAGTGGATTGATCTATGCTGTAGTCCGCCCTCCCAGCCTCTGTGTTTCCATTGTGGTGTAGGATCTGACAGCTTCAACCACGATGTTAACCAGGGACACCTGACTGTTCTAGTGGTTTGCCAGTTCCTCATAAAGATGTTAAACAGGGTGGTGCTGAGACTGCGGCCCTGTTTCATCCCTCTACTTTGGGGGAAAAAGTCTGAGTGCACCAAAACAATGACAAATCGTAGTTCCTGGATGTAACTCTAGTTCTGCGAACACATAGGGAAAAAGAAACAATGGGGGTTTGTTGTGTTAGATTATCTGGAAAATTTTACATTAAGGATGGCGATGTGAGAGAGGAGAAGACCGCTACTCCATGAGGACATCAGGAGGGCAGTAAAATGGCACTTCTTGTTTTCTCAGAGTTTAACTAAACAGAGTTGAGGCCCGTACAGCAGGAAGTACCTACACTAGAGTAGTTACTCTTTCTCCCACAAAAACAGCCCTGCAAAGAGGTTCTATAGGGGCAGTTCCTGTGATAGGAACATGCTCAAAGGTTCAGGCCACCCTGAAACAGCCTACAAGTCCCTGCAGTGGAAAAGATGCTGATGGTAGCATCAGAGAAACCTCCATTCTAGTCTCTGTTGTTTCCATTTGAATCACTTTAAACTACTCATTTAAACTTTATGGAAGTGCAGAACTTAACTGCAACCATTGAGACAACTGACTGCCTCTACAGTAGCTATCCTGCATTTTTTGTTATGTTCCGATAGTGAAGACATTACCTGTGTGACTGATGCATACTGCAGAGTAAATTCTCACCACGCATTATACTTTCACCCTGGGAAATTGACAAGGCAAACTATACGTACAAATACCTACATACCTTCTTAAAATTGCTCGATTATTAATGTGGTTTTGAATGGCAGTGCTACTTTCCCTTATATTACATTCCTTCATGCATGTCTTGCATCGTCTCCTGTTAGTTCAGACTCTTCTTTTCTTGTGTGCTCTTTTCAAAACTAATGCAGCAACAAGCCTGATAAACAGTGATTAGGTTTCCACTGATTGCCTTTGCAATCACATGTGGGACTGTTGTCTTGTATCAGTGCTCACGAGCCTGCGTTGAAATTTCTTTCCACGTCTCGCCATGTCTTCAGTGATCTCTGCAGATGCTCTAATAGTGGACGACCCAGCCGAGCTGTCCAATCAGATAACTGCCCCGGGAATCCTCAAGATCTTTGGAAATGAAATCTGTGAAGGAGCTCACTACAAGAGCGTCCTGGCCACCACACACTCTAGCGCAAAAGAGCTCGTCAAGGAGGCCCTCGAACGGTGAGACCATGTGTTATCTGGACACACGTGTCCGCCTGCCTGCCATATGTGTCTGCTTTGTATGTGTGTCCTTGTGTGTCTGCTCGGGGTGAGTTATGTCCATCCACATGTTCCCCCTGCTGCACCCTACCTCTGTGCTACATCATTTGTATATCAAAGCCGTCAGAACAGTTTTTTTTATGCGTGAAGTTTTGGCGGCTGATGGAAGGTTAGCACGTTCATGTTCTTTTGATTAGTATATTTCAGATGAACAAAGTCTATTTGACCCGTTGTTCTGTTTATTGTAATTCCATTACAGTGCACACAGTGTTTGTGTGCCAAACCGTTCGGTTAGTGATTCTGAAAAGGTCTAAAGCAAACCACAGACTTGTGTGAGAGACAGCCAGTGTCGGCACGAGCTCTGAGGCAGCGTCTCCAGAGAGTCAGTGTCTGTCAGTCTTTGCGTATGTTTTGGCCAAAAACATAATGGAATGATTAATGCAAGTGGTATTCAGCTTGTAGAGGAAAGACTAAATCATTATTCTTTTTCTCTCCGTGAAAAATGTATAGTGTAGCAGTGACATTTAGCTGTGTCATTACTACATCATGCATTTAGTGATGGTTTAGCACATGGTAACAACATGACTCCTGATAAGTTTATTTCTGTGATGTGTGCAGATGTAATAGAACATCCATACGCTTCTGCTTTGACTAGTTTGTGGAAACACATAAAAGCAGGTTTGTTTCCTTCTAAAACAACGTTACAGCTGCACTGATCAATATTTTTTCAGGCCATATATCTATCTTTAATGTGAAAAGTGCTGCATGTAATGAGGAGCACACAGAATTATAATGCAACTCTGCAGCCTCTTTTAACTATACACAGCATTTTACTTCATTGTTTTGCTTTTATCGTTGCAGATTTTCTGTTCTTGTTTACTCCCCGAAACCTAATTTCCAGCTTGAAAACTCACTGTACACCTGCCCAGCACCAAACAGCAGACAGACAGAGTTAGCAACTAGCTGGTGAACACAGCTTTGCATTTAGCATCTGTAAAGACAGATATTTCCCAGGTGGAGCTGATGGAGACCAAAACAAAGCTACAAGTAGAGTGAGCATTGGCTTTACAGTTATCAGATGGGCAGAAAAGCCAATGACACTAGCATTGTTTTTGAGTTTGTTGGATGGATAAAAAGGGCAGCAATTTGCCAACATGTATATATTAATATGGACAATATGTTGGGTATGTTTAACTTGTTGTGTTGCCTTCAAGATGCACCTGATTTGGATGTTATCAGCCTATTAAATGCCAGCACACATACATATGAGGCAATAGGGACCTCCTCCACCTTCTAACAGAATCAACAGGAGTGATATCATCCATTCTGATCATTGTTAAATGGAAAGTAACCCTGATAACTTCAATGACCTCTTGACTACCTGAGATTTTATCTGCAATGGACAAAATGGAGCAACGTGGTGTATTTGAACCCAAATCAAGAATCTTATCAAAACCTAACCTAAAGTAGTTTTGGTGGCTAAACGTAACCCAACACTGAGTGAAAAATAGAGTGAAGGTCAAAACAAGACTTAGGTTCAAAAGTAAAACTGGAATTGTGGTCCCAGATGAGTCTCTTGGGTGAAATTCCACTGACTGTTAAATCATGTGTGTACCACCAATAAATTAGGTGATAATGGCCTCATGAGCCTATTAAAACATCTGGTGACATTAGCTAAGTTTTTGAATTTAACTTTACAAAATTGCTTTGTATATGATTATTTCCATTGTTAATTACTTTTATGTTGGTCTAGGTATGGCCTGGGTAAGGAAGAGGCAGAGTCCTATGTTCTCTGTGACACCATTGGCTCCATTGGTAGCCTCCAGTGGAGAACAGAAGGGTTCAGAGTCGTGGGCGACAACGAGAAGCCTCTCCTCCTGCAGTCACTGTGGAAACCCAGAGAGGGTTTGGCAAGACGGTTTGAAATCCAGAAGAGAAGCTCTGTGGAGGAGAAGACCTCCAAAGACAAGGACACCGTCACTGCTGGTACGCTTCAGCCTTTGGCGCTTTAGGGAGTGATCGCTTTACAGATCACCACATCCTGAATCAGGGTGTCTGCCTGTCCCGGACTATGAGTCTTCACCATTAAATGAAGCATTGTCAGTATTAAACCCAGTTTTAGAGTTCTCACAGTAAAAATGTGGTTTGTTGGCACTCTGTTTTTCCAGTGAAAATCAGCCAAGCCACGCAGACCAAACTATATTTTAATAGGTCTACTATTTCTTTTATTCTTCCTTTTCAATTTCTGTCACAAATTTGGACTTCTGTTTCATTCTTACTGCCCTTAAAATGTTCTTTAAAACTGTAAATTTAATGCATGTTGCAGACACCCTGTGATTTAATTAAACGTCTTGGAGTGACACACCCTCTTTAATACTTTGCTGTTAACAACTATAAAGGCTTCACTCTGCAAAAGATCTGATCCACTCATTCTTACAAAGCATGATGTGACAAAAAAATACTCAAAACTTTGCACAGATTTTGACACAAACACTGCACGGTGGTGTAAAGGTGCAGGGTGGATGGTTTTCTATCATTTCTGCTTCTGTGGTTGACACAGCTGGGGTCGTGGTGTAGGAGCGTGTCCTGTTATGTGTTTTGCTTTATGAATGGCGCAGCTTGTGATAGCCTTCTATCAGTGTCAGCTTGTGGATGCCTGCTGCGGGGGTGAACTGTTTTTTTTTTTTTTTTTTTATTTCCATGAGCTCTGTCTTTCTTTCCACTGAGGTCTGTTTCCTGCATGGGACTTCTCCGTGTTGACTCTGGCATAAACACACCATGTACAAATGTGCACTTCACCTTGCTTCAGGGAGGGAAAAAAAAAAAAAAAGGGTGTCGCTCTATCACCACATTCCATTAGCCCTGTTCTTAATGTATTTACATAGCAGCTCAATTTGCACATAGTTTTAACACCATTCCCAGCACTCTTATTTGTTTATTCGTCTCCCTGTTAGGCATCAACGCCCAGGCTCGTAAGCTGCAGAAGAGCCGCTCCAGAGTGACCTCCACCCTCATAGACAGAACTCTGGGTCGGACCCAGAAACTGTGGAGGAGTAAAAGTGAGATGGACCTCTTGGACACTGAGACCAAACAGGACATGGATCACGATACGTGTGTCAAGGGTCGATGTGAGAGCCTGAATCGCTCTTCAGAGCAGTGCCCCAAAGCAGATTTAGAACAGAATCACATTCACGGCCTGGCAGCTCCCTCCGAGGGGGACAGTGGGTCGCGGGCCAAAACAGAGACCCTCTGTCCGCCGAGGCCGAGGGGCGAGCGGGAAGGAGAGGAGTCGGAGAGGGAGGAGACGGAGAGCAGCGACGATAACACCACACAGTACTCCATTCACCCTCCTCACGACTGTCCCTACCTGCTGCTGCTGCAGGGTTGGAGCCTCGCACAGGTATCCAAACACACTCCGACCTGAAAGACAGCTGTCCGAGAGTAGTTGAGCAACAGTAGCGAGGCAAGTTAGACCGGTCAAGCTTCACATGTTAAAGTGTGGGGCTGGAGTAGGAGATAAATGATGCATTAAAAAGTTTTAAATGTGTTTTTAATCTTTGTAAAAATGAAAGACACAGTAGTCATATTGAAGGAATTGATTAAACAATGCATTTATCTGCTTAAATTTAAATTTGATGGCAATTTGAATTAATTTGACAGCAAGCAGAGAGAGACAAGAAGCATGGCGAGTGTGGATAAGGAAATCAAACCATGGATTCTGTGGTTTTGTGCCTCATTTCTTCTAATGTATGCTGCAACCGCTAGTATGTCTCACAACGTACAGCTGTAACCAAGCGTTACTTGCAACTCTTCATTCGTGAACTACATATTTGCCACATTAAAAAAAAAAGGTTTTAGAACATTATGCAGCACGTTGCATTAGTAATATGCGGAAAATATGTGGCAAACAGTCCAAGCTATTAGCTATACTGGCTTTATCCTTTACATCTAAACACACAGTATACTTTCTAGCAGCCTGCCGTAAGATTTCCACAAAGTTCTCCAGGAGTCCGCTGCACATTTGCCACAAATCTAATTTGCGTATGAAATTATGACCTTGCACAAACGTTAACTCCAGCTCTGCCAGGAACCATTAGTGCCAGAATTTATGGCATACATAAACTGATGGCAAACTTGTTACCAGAGGGTGACTTAAATTGAGCACTGCTGGGAGACTGTGGTATCAAACCACCGGTGAACATGTTTGCCAGTAGTGATAAACTTCTCATTACTGTCAGAATGTTGCAGGAAGTTTTTTGTTTTTCTAAGAGAACTAATGGTCACGTAAAGTAGGCTACCTCAGAACTGTACTTAAGTCTTTTTATTAGCAGTCTTTCTCACGTACACAAGTCAACCAGAGGGGACATTTATAGCCAATGAACATACAGCGTTGTTATTCAGCCCCTTAGAAGTTTTCCCCTTTATTGCTTTCATGAATCATTCAATTAATTTTTGGAGCTTTTTTTGACAAGAATTTACCAAAAAAGACTCCACCATGTCAAAGTAAAAACAGATTTCTACCACGAAATGTAAATTAAGTAAAAATATAAAATGCAAAATAAGTGATTGTACAAACCTCTTTAAGGTGACTGACGTAATTGAACACAGATGCAGCCAGTTGGTTCAAGAGGTCACCCAATTAGTGAAATGGAGATCATTGGAGTGTAGTGAATGTGTGTCAAGTGACTGTAACTTAAAGACAACTTATGTGGAAGGTCCTGTCACTGGTGAATCAGTACTTCTGGCTTTAACTACGCTGTGAAGAGAACACTCCAAGCAACTCTGTGAAAAGGTAATTGAAAAAGCACAAGTCAGGGGATTAACACAAGAAAATGTTCAAGTTACTTATCATCCCTTGGAGTACAGTTAAATCCATATAGAAATAGAAGGAATGAAATATGACACATGCACGAATCTGCGAGGAGCAGGCTATCCACAAAACCTAGAGAGCAAAAGAGGCCACCAAGACACCAATGACTCCTCCGAAAGAGTTACGAATTTCATCAGTTGAGGTGGGAGAGACTGTGCATACAACAACTGTTACCCAGGTTGTTCACCACTCAAAGCTTTAACAGAAAACCGTTGTTGAGGAAGCTCATATTAAATCTGGACTAGAGCTTACCATAAAACAAGTTGGAGACTCTGAAGTCAGCTGGAAGAAGGTTGTTTAGTCTGATGGGACCGAGATAAGGTCACACTACACGCACCGAACACTACACATCATCACAAGTGCACCGGTCCCAACATGGAGCATGGGCAAATATGTTCATAAGTGCTATAGTTAGAGTTTGCCGCATTTTCTAAAAGGCTAGTTTTCACAGTTGTCTTTTCAGCCGGCAAAATTAGCAGTCGGGGATTAGATGGTTTATCTTTGTCTGGCATAAGTGCCCGTTGAACCAAAACTCACCTTGTATTTTAACCCTCCTATTATCTTGGGGGTCAATTTGACCCCACTCAGTGCTTAACATCTCTAAATAAGTGACTGACATATTCTTTTAAGTTTTATTTAAAGGGCTATTTACACATAAACTTGGACAACAATTTTAATTATGATAATTTTCTGAGGGTTTAAATTGCTGGGGTCAAATTGAACCCAAGGACAAAAAATGTCAGTAAATTTGACGGTAATAGGAAGGTTAATGGTAACTGCCACTGTTATCTATATGAAACGCAAATGTGCCACACGATAACAGACAAGTGGGACAGGGTTAGCTAACGGTAAAACCTTCACAGGTTACAATGCATGCAGGCTGACCCTGGCTTCCCTACTAAATGTTCCCATGTGTGTCAGATTACAATCAAAAATATTAATAGAATAAAGACAATGTTATACCCTTTACTCACAGTAAAATACACTGAAAAAACAGCATGTTTTTTCAGCGTAAAGAGGAGAGAAACACTATGTGAAAGGCCAGTGAACTGTACTTAGAAAATCTGTGTGTCAAAACAGTGATCAGGAAACAGAGAAAGACAGGCCTGGCACTGCTTCCTGACTGATTACCACTGGTTTTTAACGGTGGACAACTGCCACACACACACACACACACACACACACACACACACACTAATTCTCTCACACTGCCGTGATTATGACTCTGCGTCACAGTTGTTTTCCCAAAAGATCCCCAAATACTATTATGAAGGTTTAGAGAGTTTGGTATATTCATTTAGCCAGATTAATCTGTCCGGTTGGAAAGCAGGCATCACAAGGGGAATGTCAAACATAATAATCCCTGCACATTGTGCCGCTCGCCGGGTTTAATGAAACATTGTTTGTCTAATTAGGCTCGGATCAGGACTGTAATTCTAACAGACCCACATGATCAGACGACCAAGCTTTCATTGTGAGAGACTGTGGTTACATGGCTGATGATGGAAGTAATAAATGTCAGCACCAAAGTAAAACCAAAGTTCCTGCTTTTTGTTTGTCGTTAACAAAATGGTTAAAACACATTTGTCCTACTGACAAGACGACGACACTAAACAACTAAAAGAACTGCAGTATCAAACGTAAAAGCAGTCATTATGCAAGTTGGCATCCTTTATAACGTTTATTATTACATACAGTATAATAGTGATGCTAAAATATGTTTTTAAAACATGTTTTGTGTGTAACATTGTGCAAATTGAATAGTAAAGCTGTCTAAAAATTTCTCTCTGAAATTTAGTGAAACAGACATTTAAAATTCCCATACGAATACCTTAAAACTGTACTTAGAGCTGCACCAATCAATATTTTCGTATATCAAATGATTTGATTTGCTCTTGCTGTCATGTTTTCCGCAAACAGTGCTGAGCTGTTTTAAGCAAAGCAAGCTGTACATATTTAAACCCACAGTAGTCGACCTGCCCAGTGCAAATAGGAGACAGACAAAGTGAGCAATTAGCTTTTAAAAGCAGTGGATCACTTAGCAGCTAAAAATACAAATATTGAGGCGGTGCAGACGAAAGCAGAGCTTAAAAGAGAGCGACGAATAAACTTGGATGGGACACGTAACTCCAAATGAATCCAAATGCTGATGTATAAATGGTAAAGACAGTATGTATGTATAAATAGATGGATGCAGCAACAATGATGTAACCCATCGGTTTGTGAGCTACCGTTTTGAAGCTTCAAGTTTGGAATTTTAACGATTGCCATTTTGTTCTGTTGAAACCAGATGCAACGAATGTGGTGTACATTGGAATGAGAATTTGAGAACACAATGTACGGCGATATGTTAGAGACCTTTTGATCACAAAGTAGCCCTGCCATAAAATGTAGCCTCTATTGTACTGTAAATGGGACCATAATTTGCAAAATTAACATTATTCTGGAGGCTTGAAGCTACTGGTTGAGACCCATAAACATATGAGGATAATGTTTACTGAGACAACAAATTTAGTCATAAGTATGGTCGTTATTTACAGACTTCTATAAAACTGGACTTCTTTTCGGAGTCGCCTCCTGCTGGCTGTTAGAAATAATGCAGGTTTACAATAATTACTTTCACTCTGTAGTAAACTGACACCTGTTAATACATAAAAACCATGCACATTAAGACTAGCAAACATCACTGCAGTTTTATTCCAGCAAATGTCTGTAGTTGCTTTTCATCTGGCGCACAAGAGAAGGACTCGTTAGTGTAGCATGGCTAAATAAACTAAGACCTACAGGAACATATCAACAGAAAATTCAAAGAACACGTTACAAAACTGGACGCAATGAAATTGAGACAACAATTGCAGACAAAAAATGCTAACTTGTCGTGTATCTCTGCACTCAGGACTTTGTCATCTATCTACTCGCTGGCCCAAACATTGTTATTGGTCAGAAAAGTGATCACGAAGATGAGTCGAAGGTTGACGTCCTCCTCTTTGCCGCCGACATCCTACCGAGACACTGCTGCCTCCATCGCTGCAGCGCCGGCGGCCCCACCATTCTCTGCCCGGGTCAGGGCGCCGTGGTCACGAGAAACGGCCAAGTGCTGAGAAATGACACGCAGCTCAGCCCTGGTGATGTTATTGGGTTGGGGCAGCACTACCTGTTCCTTTTCAAAGATCCCTTAGCTGTGACACAAAAGGTGAGACACCAGTCTGTTCCAAAGATGACAGACTGATTGATATCCCGTTACAAGATTCAATATGTTGTATTATTTTGAAATCAATTCACATGTATGTAAATCCTGCCTCGTGTTTCTTGTTTATTGGAAAATGAAGGATGCAAATAGTGCTGCTCCTGAGTCCAGCTTCCCTGCTTCTCCATGGACACTCGGCCACACCACCTCTGCGGCTACAACAAGCCACACAGGAGAGATGATCCT